AAACATTTTGATTTCACCAATAGTCACCACAAGAGCAAACACCTAACCGGAACACATGAAATCTATTCGTGTCTCTGATGATGATCTCACGACAAGTTATCTTCGAGATAAGCTTAGCTGCAACATGACAATCTCCACATATTCTAAGGTTCTTCGTTATTCTTATCGCATTGCTGTCTTCTTCTTCCTCTGTTGTGTTCAGCAGAGCAAACACAATGGCTAGTTTCTCACTATGAACAGCCAAATGCGTCTCTTTCTCTTCTTCTTCCACATCATGAAGCGCGGAAACCGAATCAGGAACGTACCCTAGCTCTTTCATTTTCCTTACTAGAACATCAAGCTCCTTGTAGATCTCATCAGATTGCGGGTTTGACCTGTCGCCTACTAAGAACGTATGAATTTCTCCATTGACCTCAACATTGCTCGCTCCGGGGTTCTTCTTTAACCCTTTACTCTTCATCAGATATCTGATGTTTGTTACCTCTTCCCATCTTCCAGCTTTTGCGTATATGTTAGAAAGCAATACGTAGTAACCAGATTGCTCAGGTGCTAACTGAAAAAGCTTATCAGCTGCGAGTAAACCGATATCTGTATTTGAATGCATCCAGCAAGCTCCTAATAACGCTCCCCAAACTCTCTCGTTTGGTTCCATTTGCATTTCTTGTATAAATCTATAAGCTTCTTCCACTTTTCCGGCTCGGCCAAGAAGATCCACCATACAAGCAAAATGCTCTAGCCTAGGAGTTATCTTGTAATGATCTGTCATGAGTTTGAAACAACTCCGACCTTCTTCTAGTAGACCCGCGTGGCTACAAGCAGCGAGTGTTGTGACAAACGCAATTGAATCAGGGACGAGACCCGAGTCTTGCATTTTAGAAAACAATGTCACGGCATCACAGCCTTTCCCGCTCACTCCATAAGCTGAGATCATAGCTGTCCAAGACACAACGTCCCGGGACTTCATGTTCTCAAACACCTCTCTTGCTCTATCTAGACACCCGCATTTTGCATACATGTCGATCAATGCGTTCTCTAGCAACATATTTGGTATCAGCTGCTTCCTCTCGATGTATCCATGGATTTTTTTACCAAGAGTCAGAGCAGATGTATCCCCACAAGCAGGTAATACACTTGTGATTGAGACTGCATCAGGTTCGAACCCATCAGCTTCCATTCGGGAATACAATTCAACAGCTTCAATAGGCATCGCATTTTTCATATACACACCGATCATCACATTCCACGAAACCGAACTCTTTTTCCCCATATTTAAAAACATATCTTTCACATACATAACATTTTCCGTTGTCGTGTTGGTCACTGCTGGTAACAGACTAGCCATTGTGCCAGCATCATGGCTTATCTTCACGGATTTCATTTCCCTACAAACCTCCAAAGCATCATCAAATCTCTGATTTTGCGCATATCCAGCAACTAACGAGTTCCAAGAGACAACATCTCTCCTTGTCATCTCATCAAGTACAAGCCGTGCTTCAGCTAAAAATCCACATTTTCCATACATAGAAACTAAACCATTCCCAACAAACAAAGTCGAAGAGAGCCCAACCTTTGTAGCAGACCCATGGAGTTTCTTCCCAACGACAATATTCCCAGAGCAAGAACAAGCCTTTAGAACACAAGGGAAAGTGTAATGATCAGGTCTGACATTACATCCACACATCGTCCCAAACACTTGAATACCTTCACGGTAAAACCCATGGTTCACGTAGCTTCTGATCATGACATTAAAGATAATCACGTTTCTCTCAGGAATTTCCTCGAACACCTTGCGTGCTGACGCCACATCTTTTAGAACAGCGTAAGCTCTCATAAGTTTAACGCCTAAAGAAGAATTGGAGCGTAGATCTTCCATGATGATCCTTGAATGGACTGTTCTAAGGGTTTTGACATCTGGGTAAGTGTCAAGTATCTGACCCAGCAAATTGTCATGAAAAGATGTCCCATGTCGTGATGTCGATTCAAATTCTGGTTTGCGTGCAGAAGAAGCTACTTCTCGGGTTTGAAATAGTCTGAATGTCGGAAAATGACGGAGACGAAGACCGACATTGATGCGTTTCATGAGCTTTGAAATCGAGCTTGTTCCTCATTCAACGGTGACAAATTGTACGTAAACCGATAATAAAAGATTAACCGCAAAAGCTAATTAAACCGGATCAGACCGGGTAAAAATGGGCCGTTGGATTTTGTCGAGAAATGGGCCCATCGTCTAACGTTAGTTTTCGTTCGAATTATTTATCAGAAGACCCCTCAACTCTTGCATTTAATTCAATATTTGGTCGTAAGTTTTTCTTTGGTAAAGTTATTGTCGTCTTCTTGAGGCGCGAGATGGTACGAATTTCTTTCCAGTCACAAGAGTCATGAACCCACCCAGAAAGTATGAGCATGAATCTCCCTATAAATCCAGGCTCAGTGAGTAGACGAAAACCCTAAATCCTAAATTTTCGCTTTTCCGATCAGGTTCGTCTCTCTGTTTCATATTTAGAGCTTTTTTCAGCATGAAGACATTTGCAGTAGTGCTCATTAGCTCTAGATTTCTGGATTTAGGTAAAGGGTTCGACTTAAGGAATTTCTTAGCTCTGTTTCTTCGCTTATTCTTATGAGGTTTTCGATTTTTATTTTGTTACCAATCTGACTAGTCTTTACTGTTTACAGGGTTTCCGTAATGGCGTTAAGACGCACATTGTCCCTCAGATCTTTGTTCACTGCTCGCTATTACCAACCTTCTTATAGCTGTATCATTCGTCCTGATAATGACCACCATGAAGACAAGCCAAAGTACCGCTCTTTTCTTCATCAGAGATCCTTTAGCTGCTCGGTTCTCTCTCACCATCTAGGAAGAAGCTCTTCACATTTGTCTCCATTTGGTGGCGGCGAAGAGAATCATGTTGTTGGAACTCTTACTGATTCAGTGCTACAAGATGTGTCTTCGCAGACCACCGCTACAGTCAGTGAAGTTTCCGATGCTGCTATTGATTGTTTTCTCCATTTTGATGTCGTTCAGCAGATAATTGACAATGTGCATTCATTCACTGGATTAAACTGGTAAGTAATCTAAATAGCTCTTCTGCGTTGTGTTGGTCAACTTACAAAAGTTCATAATTGTCAACCATGTAGTGTCCTTGGAGGTTGTGTTGCGATCACTTTCTTGTTTTTAGAGAAAGACAGGCTTCAATGTTGTGTGACATGTTATTTAAATCATCTCTGTCTATTGTGTGTTTAAAACGATTGCCATGTGCTTGCAGGTGGGCGTCCATTGTTCTTACCACCCTTTTGATTCGAGGAGCGACAATCCCACTCATGATTTACAACGAAAGATTTAGGTCAAGGGTGATGGTATTGAAATATTTAGCAACATGCTTGTGTAAAGATATCTCATATTTGACATAAAAATAACTCTCCAGAGACTTTTCCTTCTTCATAACCATCTATTATCGAAATTCCTTTGTCAATATAGAGAGCCTGAATGCATGAACCTAATTGTGTGGCTTTGGATGCAAGTGTTTTTGTGATGTTCAATCAGATTTCCATAACAGATCAACATATTTTGCTTCTTTCTTGTGTTTTATACTTATGCATTTTGCTTTTGTTATATCCTACCACCATCCTTTTTTAATTACTATTTGATCCTGCAGATGCTAGGAATAGACGCTACAGCATATAAGGAGATTAAGGATCAGGTACCATAACTTTTCGTCTCTAAAATTGATCTCTTTGATACCATGTAATTAGCATTCATGTACGCGTGATGAATCTTAACCCAAAAATTCCCACACTGAATAGCAGCTATATTTCCTCATTTCACCTCTTTGTTTCCCTTTTTCCCAGGGAGGAGATCCAGCTGCTGTTGATAAGCATCTGGAGAAGTTCAACAATTTGGCGGAGGAGTAAGCACTTTTTTACTTCTTTCAAGTGTGTGATAGAATTAAATTTCAAGCTGTTTCTTGATTTATTTGGGTTATTCTTCTATCTATTGCAACATTACAATTCCTGACATTGTTGACAAGTTGAAAATTATGTTTGTGGCCTTCACTTCATAACTTTACATTATTGTTTACAATAACAGAAAAAATGTCTCTAAAGATGCAATTGGTTCTATAGCTATTGGAGGATTCCAAAAGATTCTTCCATATTGAACTGTCAGATTATGGTTGAATATAAGTCATCTTGAAAAGTTTTATTTTGTTTCTACCTCATGTAAAGGACCATAAGTTGAGTTTTTCTGGAATGTTTGTTGCGGACACTCGTTTAAATGTCTATCTTGCCATGCAATGTAGCAGAATTTGCATGTAAATGTAGCTTGTATCGCCTGGGACAGAGAACCTCTTGCCTATGTGCTTGATGCTCTGACACTCTGATTAGTGATAAGTATTATGGTAGAGGTGCAGTTAAGCTTCATTTCATGTATTTATATATCAGTGTCATCCTCCCCATATTGACCTAATTGTGGTATTGTTTGTGATGATATAGGTATGGTGGTTACGATAAACTTAAACATAATGGTTCTCCATTCCATTTAGTGAGGGCTTTACTACAGCATCTGGGATTGATCGGCATGAGCGTAACAGTAAGAAACTTAATGCTTCATAATCTGTTTACGCATGTGTGCTATCTTCCTATTTCATCCCTACTGAACCTTGCTTCCGGATCTATAACATGAGAGAAAGTAGCATCCTTCGAAACAGGCGGTGCGCTTTGGTTCACTGATCTCACAACGCCAGATACATCATTCATCTTTCCACTTGTAACCGGATTGACCCTCTGGATTGCGATAGAGGTATCAATAACTCTATTTTCGAAATAGCAAGTATATCTTCTTGGGGTTGGTTCTGATAAAACAATTCTTAATGTTGAGCATCTCAGTGTGATGCAATGGTAGGCTATGAAGGTATGTTAGTAGGCCTAAAAAAGGTGGTCCGATTTTGGGAATTGTTTTGCCAAAGGTGAAGTTATGATTTTCACCAAATGAGGATTACGATTAAAAATCTGAGTCTGGGAACACACATGTAATGATCTTGAAAAATGGTTATTTTTGAGTAAGTTGCAGGCTGTGCATTGCTAGATGATGAGTTGCATGTTGTTCTCCATTGTGTTTATGCACGGTGAGTTTCGAAATTACAGAACGAATCTTGCGGGTTCGGTCAGGTTCATGGGTTGCTCATGTTGCTATCTCTCTCTTTCTCTATGTGCAGTGATTCGCCGTCCGGGAGAGAGGAAGCATTTTGACATTCCAGAGGTTCCTCCTGAACATATGGTTATATTGATGTACACAAGGTTACTGAAGAAATATGGAGCTAAGTGGTTGTCACGTGGATGAATTGTGTTGAAAGTGAATGGAATAAGAGAAATAAGCATGTAAAAGTTGTCTCATCTATTCCTCTGCCTTTTAGAGCATCCTTAACCTTATAAACCCCAAAACTTATTAAAAAACTCTAACCACCCTATTTAATTCTAACCACCCCTCCCTTCTTCTTCTTTCCTATTTATTATCCTAATTAAATAATTCCAACAACCAAATATTAAATATTATCAACAACCAATCAAAATTAAGAAAACAAAAAAAATTCTATCCTATGATGAGCTTCTATGTCGCATTTTGCTTCTTCATTCTCTCTTTTGTCGAGAAACCTAAAAATCACAGAGAATAAAACAGAGCAAG